TTTTTTTTTTTCTTTTCTTTTTCTTTTTGAGACAGGGTCTTGCTGTGCAGTTCAGCCTGGCCTTGAGCTCACTTTGTAGCCCAGGCTGGTCTTGAACTTGCAATGATCCTCCTGCCTCAGCCTCCCAAGTGCTGGGATTACAGGCGAGTGCTAGGATTACAGGTGTGCACCACCACGCCCGGCTTCTCATCTTTATTTTTTTTTTTTTGTCAGATTCCCCTTTTCCTGACTTATCTTCCCTAAGCTGACTCGTGTGCTTCTCTCACAGTCTTATGGATCATAGCCTCTCCTCTATAGTCTTGGTGTGGGCTGGCTACTGGGTAGGACCAGATAGGGAGGGCTCATCTCTGGGCCTTCTGTGTGGATAGAGCTCATCCTAGGGCCTTTTCCTGAAGACTTAGGACATCACTTTGGTGGCTGCTGTTAGGTCAAACTTAGTCTAATTTTTATACAATCTAACTCAGTGAGTCTTTATATCATAATACAGCCAGAATTTCTCAGCATGAGTCTGTAGTGGGTACTGCTCTAAGTACTTTACCTGTGGCCCCCCCTTGTTACCTTGGAGTGGTTCGTTACTGTAGATATTCTTGCATCTTCCTATGCATGTGAGAACCATGAGGTCCAGAGAGGTCAAGCAATAATTCCAACGTCATAAAAAAGCAGTGCCAAGCATCTGCTGGGGGAGATTGACTGTAGCAGGGAGTTTAACCACCGTACTATATCACCTTTCCGGAGTCTATTCACATAACGAGGAGGGCTCCAGATTTTGAGTGTGCTAGAGTGGCCAAGTGAACAGAGATTACATGCTTTGCTATGTTTCCCAAAGCAGAGTGAAATTACCTATTTATAGGATATAAATATTTGCTCATCTGTAACCTCAGAAATCCTTGACCTCAGCAGAGTGAAATTATCTATTTATAGGATATGAATATTGGCTCATCTGTGACCTGATATGAAAGGTCTTAGAGGCAGTGCCCTCAGGGTGGACATACAACTTTTCCAGTGCTCATGTGGCTCTTTAGGTGGTGTCTGATTATACCTTCTTGTCTCCTTGTGGGAGGAAATTGGGTAGACCTCATAACCAGTGACTTCCCCAGGAAGGAGGAAAGTAATAGCACCTTTCCCTGGGGGAGAGATGATGCCTAGGAGCTACCCTGTGATCAGGCCTCAAGAGAGAGATGGGAGCTCTCAGTATTCAAGAGGCTGTGGGCTCCAGGAGAAAGCAGCATTGCCTCAGAAGAGGTGGGGGCAAGGGGCACCCACCTGTCTTCCCCAGGATTTATGTTAGGGAGCATTTTCCATTCCCCTGCCGGAGAGTCCTTGTCTGGGTGAAAAGCTGTACAGAAAGTGCATGGGAGTTGCTTGGAAGCTGCCAGGAGCTTTTGCAATAAGAGAGCAATCTTACTGCATGTGTTGCTCGACACCTACAAGACGAGAACCCCAAGGGGAGTGTTAGCAGAATGGAATCAGCAGGCAGAGAATCAAGGAGTAACAGTGGGGTTCAGGCCCCACCAGGCTGAAGCTGAGCTCCCTGGCAGTTACTAGGAACACAGGCATGCTGTGTAGGGCCTGTTTTAACAGGCACCCACCTGTTCCTCTAGGCTTTTTAGCACACTGGAGTGGGAGCCCTGGCACAAAACTGACGCTCCCAGAGCTTTTTTGAGCCCTGCTTGTTGGGCACACCCCAGAGGTTCTGACTGGCAGGTGTCAGGTGGCCAAGATTGTGGCTTCTAAGGAGGTCCAGGTGCTGCTGAGCATTGACCATGCTTTGAATTTCGCTGAAAGGAAAGGAGGAAATGTGAACCAGGCCTAGAGCAGATGTAAGTACAGAAGGGAAGGAGCCAGAGAAAGGGTACCCATTTGACATGTCTGGAATGTGGATTGTTTGACATGAGTTTGGTTCCATCTCATGATGAGTGCTTGCATTATGTGGTGTAGTAAATGCTTTGTAAGGACTGGTCCCCCTTTGGGGCATTCTCACGTCCAGAGTCCTGTTCTTTGATGTGTTGATGGGCCAAAGTGCAAGTTGATTTGGTGGGACATTCTCCCCAGTGGAAGCAGAACAAGAATTTGTGCTTGGCATATGCAACTCTGGTGAGGGCCCTGGGAGAAACTAGGCCTTCTCCCACATGTTCTCAAACAGTCAGCCAAGGTCTGGCTCAAACCCAGGATCTTGTGAAGCTGATTTGTTTTGGTTTCCTCCAGACACCCCCAGAAGCACCTAACACAAAATCAAACAAGCTCTTCCCTCTCTCTGGCCACCCTGTCCAAGGGGTCCTCTCCCCAGCTGGGCCGTGCTCCCTCATGGTGACGCAGGATGCCCCATGAGAACATTTAAGAATGAGTATAATCTCTGGTAAGCTTCTCCAGGGAGCTGTCTGCGAGTAACACAGCGATTATGATCATCATCATCATGCAGGAGCGATTATAATAATGATGATGGCAAGCTGGGTGCTGGCTGCATGCCAGGCGGTTTTTAAACATTTTTATAAGTGTAATTTCACTTAGCGTTCCAGTGCTTTATGAGGCAAATGTTATGAGCGTGGTTTCCGTGTGAGGAAGGCAGGTGCTTAGCCTGGGGGGGCTGGGACCACACCCTGCAGGGCCTGTCCCAGAGCATCCTGTAGCCTGACCTTCCTGGAGCTACTTCCTTTAGCACTCTAAAGCCACTGTATCATTATTATGTTGTGTATATTTTACTCACAAAAAATCACATACAGTACTTAATATAGAAAATATCAGCAATGGAGACAGAGAGGAAGATAAAATCACTAACAACCCTGATCATTGCATTTTGCCACTATTGAGATTTAGGTGAGTCTGTCACAGTCCTCATACTGAATGTGCTCAGTATGAAAAGCTCTGTTACATGCTTGCTGTGAGATAGGCAGGACCCTGATGCTGAGCCTGTGCGTGGTGCCCCAGGTTGACCTGTCATCTTGCTCTGCTCCCTCTCACCACCCTGGGGCCTGTCGTTGGTCTGAGTAGTCTCACTAATGACTGAAGCGTCAGTCAGTGTGGGGGACAGTTTGGGGACACTGGCCACACCCTTGAGGGGACCTGGCTCATGTGAGTCTATCCATGGCTCAGACAAGTTCCCCACTGGATGTCTAGTAAACACCATCTTCTTCCTAAGTAGGATGTTGCTGGTACCACTTGACAGGCTGTTGGACCACTAGGGGAGAATATTGGGGTGAAACAAAAGCTCCCTGGAGGGGAGTTGCTCCATGCAGGAATTTTAGAGACATTTCATATTCATTTAGGGTTAGATGTAATTGTACCTAGTTTAGTGGTGCTCAGGTCAGAGGCTGCCCTCAGCTGAAAAGGACATCCTGTTAGTGGCCACCCCTGTGGCCAGGAGGTGAGGTCACAAGAGTGATGTTGGCAGCTCTCCTTGCAGACCTGCCTGGCCTGCTTCACCCATGGACGGAATCTCAGCGGTACTGACTGGGCTCTGGAAAAGGGGAACTGCTCTCTAAACCCATGCTGGTTCCTGAGAGCTGCTTCTGGGGGAGCTAGGGTCTAGTGGATCCTAGGCACCGGTCCCAGGCACAGGACTTAGGCACTGGTCCTGGGGCTTCCGCAGTGGCCCTGCTCAGCAGCAGCAGGTTCTTGAGTATGTAGAATGTCCCAGGCTTGTTTCTGTGTGCAGAACACACAGCCATGGTAAAGCACACCAAATGGCAGGGGTGGGCAGACAGGAAAGGAAAGTAAGTATGGAGAGAAAGATCCAGAGGTGCTGGAGTAGTGGGCATTGCAGCATTGCTGAGCACAGCTGTGAAGGAAATAAGAGGCCCATCAGTATCTGGGGGATACTGAAAAAGAAGTAGCAAGTGAGGTCCATGTGCCTCACCTGAATGGGGTGACAGCAAGGCTGGGGCCATCGTGAGGAGCAACCCTGGTCCTCTTCCCCCAGTGTAAGTAGACAGGGAAGTTAGGTCTGCATCCCCCTACACACACGCAGCTTCTTGCAGGGACCTTGGAGATACTCCTGGTTGTGGGGGGTACAGTTCACAGTGCACACTCCCAGGATGGTCCTACTGTGGTCAGATGTGGCTGGAACATCCCTTCTGGCAGTCCAAAGCATTCTCATGTGGGCTAGGGTCACTGGGGATATGGCCGTTGGCCTCCGGAAGTTACGCTGGGCCTGGCCGTCTCCATACAGGTATGCACAGTGGCTGTATGTGTGGTGAGCTCTGCCATTCTCACCCACGATGACCTCATCATCCCCCCTGTTGTATCTCAGCGTCTTCAGGGAGCGTATGCTACTGTGGAAAGGGGCTTTAGGAATTTTTGTTTTGTTGTTTTCTGTTACGAGTTTTTAAAATTGAGGTGAAGTTCGCATAATATAAAATTACCATTTTAACATTTATAATGTGGTAGCATTTAATGCAGTCACAATACTGTGCAGGCAACTTCTATTCGGTTCTGAAGTGTTTTCCATCAGCCCAGGAGAAAACCCATGACCATCAGGCATCACACCTACCCACTGGCAACCATCATCAGCATGTGTACTGTCTGCCTATTTTGCGTGTTTACATCCAGGAAGGGTTTGGATGTTGCCTTGTCTCTCTTGATGCCTGCCTGGTGGCCTTGAGTGGCCTTCTGTCTGCCTAGTTGTGTGCCCTCTGCTATCCCATGTCCTCTGCCATTCGTGCCTTCTGCCTGCCTGCCTGATGTCGCACGTCCTCTGTCTTCCCAATATCACGTGCCCTCTGCCTTCCCATGACCTCTGCCTGCCTGCCTGACAGCCTGTGCCCTCTGTCTTTTCAGCTGCTGACTACAGGTCCATTCTGAGCATTAGTGACGAGGCAGCCAGGGTGCAGGCCCTGGACCAGCACCTCAGCACGCGTAGCTATGTCCAGGGGTACTCACTGTCCCAGGCAGACGTGGACGTGTTCAGGCAGCTCTCGACCCCTCCCGCTGACAAGAGGCTCTTCCACGTGGCCCGGTGGTTCAGGCACATAGAAGCGCTCCTGGGTGGTCCCTGTGACAAAGGCGAGCCCTGCGGGCTCCAAGCAAGTGAGTAACAGTGGCTTCCCCACTATAAGAACCTCTGCTTCAAGGTCCCTGGATACATGGTGACACAGGGCAGCAGATGCCAAGTGAGTGCTCCACCCCAGTGTCTCAGGCAAGCTGCCCAGTGTGGCATATACCATGCTTGCTGGACCAAGGGTAGGATAGAATTGTGCCCTGTGGAGTTGGTTCTTCGAGAACAAAATACTCTTGTTGGCACTGCAGAGCTGCCCATGGCAGAGTCACCTGGGGACAACATGACCTGCCAGGTTATAGGCTCAGTGAGAGCCTTGCCTGGCTCTGACTTGACTTGGTTATCTTCTTCATTCTTTCCATAGGCTTGTAGAGTTTTCCTCCAAATGTAGAGTCATTAAATCCTAAAGCCAGAGTAATTGGCATTGATATCTTTAGAAATCAGAAATAAGTTTCATTTGTGTGCTTTGTGACAAGGTCAGCTGCGTGGCTTTCACTGAAGCCTGCTGAATGAGGCTGAGTGATCTGGAGGAGGCACTGCTAGAGAGTCCCAGGCCCCAGTTCCTGGCAGTTTATCACTCTGAGAATCCAAGGGCATGTCCTTCAGTGACTGTCCAGGGCCCCTGAATAGCAGGCCTCTGTGGCTTTGTGTGCATTCCCTCCTTCATATGCTATGGGCCAAGTGCTGTCTTCTTGCAGTCCTCACTGATGACCCGGAGGCTTTCCAGACCTGAGGTGAGGAATTTGGAACATGCCCCAGGGCCTCCACTATGGTCAAGCTTCTGCTCGGTCCCTCATTTCAACCTGGGCAGAGGGAGTACTAAGTCTCCTAGAGTCAGACTGTATCTTGGTTTTCTAGAAAATTTGGCAGCAGACAGCCTCCTCTAGCACAGGTGGAAGGCCTTGCTATATAGCTGTTTCCTCCCCTGAGCAGTGCTCCTGCCCACATATCTAGTGTGGTGATCCTGGTGATGTCTGTGGTGTCAGGTGTCTTCTCCAAAAGGTCAAGTTGTCCCTGTCTATGCCCCAGCTCCAGGGTATAGCAGGGTAATTGAGATCAGGGTGACTTGGGCACCGCTGAGAAGAGACCCTCGGCCCTGGCCTGGATGGCTCCCTTCATGGCCTTAGAAAAGCGGTGCAGACACTCACTGAAACCCTGTAACAAAAGGTGCAGCTGTCCTCTTGAATGATCAAGGACACATTTCCCACCCGCATGGGAGATGAAGGGGATCCTTGCTCCTTGTAGACCTTTTGACCTGTGGAACAGAAGGCCATTCACAGCAGAGCCCAGCAAGGATGTTGCCCGATGGGTGCAGGTTAGTCAAGGGTAGACTGTGGGCAGCACTAACATGGTGTGGTGCCTCCTCTAAAGTCCAAGTCCCCTGATCACTGAAGCCCACATGTGTCCAGGAAGGACAGCAGTTAGGCCCGTTGGCCCTCGAGCAGAGCCCTCAGTAAAGGTGAAGGTTGGGGCTGGAGTCTGGGGCTGCCATTTACTGTCCAGTGGCTTTGGGCAGACCCCCAGACCACTCCCCTTGGTTGACTGCAGCTGTGTATCTGCCTTCGTCGCTGTAAGAATCACAGCAGCTGCCCTATTGTGCTGAAATCCTTTTCAACCCTTCCAGCCTCTGTCCTCAACACCAAGTGGGACAGTGGGAGGCCATTCCTCACTGGCTCTTCTGTGCATTGCAGTGTCTTCAGTGCCCTCTGGCCCTCTGTGTATCTTCATTGACTGCTCTTTCCTGCTCAGTCCAGCTGTGTCCTTTTTCTAAGTCAAGGTCCTCAACAGCTGAAGGGCCCTCCCAGACAAGGCAAGTCAGGACGATCCCGCTTCACCCTCTTAGCCCTAGAAGCCAGACCCCTTCCTGCCTGGCTCTTGTCGCTGTGCTCCTCCTGCCCTTTTCCCACCTCATCAGCCTGCTGAAGGGCCACTCATTCCCAAGGCCTTGAACCTCTTGGGTGGCCCCCATCCAGGGCTGGGATTCAGTGTAGGAAGGCTTCTCCTTCATGAGGAAGGACACTGGTCTGCCGGACCCAAGGCCACATCCTAGGATGATGCAAGTTCAGTGTTGCTCCCAAGCAGATGACACTCAACCTCATGATTAAGTGTTTCTCTGCAGGAACTCCCCATCCTTTGTGAGGTTCCTCAGGATCTGCTGATGTTTCTGGTGACCGCTCTGTCCTTTCCCTTTCAATCTTCCCATCCTGTTTTGAAGACCAAGTCTGGTCTGCCATGTAGAGCTGTTCTGTTGTTGATGTTGTTTGACGTGGGACATGGTGTCTACATGCCCAGACAGTGTCTGGCTGGGGTGGAATGGGATACCTGTGTGTGGGGTAACACTGTCTCAGAAGAAAGGCAAACAAAGTCTGACACTGGTAAGGGCATTGATGGCATTATCAGATCATGGGGCATCAGGCATGGTTGGACGACCCTTGCTAAACATGAACTCTGATGACTTGGAGGAGGGGACAGTTAACTCTGAAACCCAGGCCGTTGTGTAACCTCTCCCAGTATTTACTTCCCTTTTGCAAATCTGAATTTTGTCTGCCAGATGTCCTCAAAGCCCATTATCAGCTGTGGACCTGGCAGCCTGTAGGGGAACTAGCAAGCTGAGCACGGCTGGGTGTGCCTCGGGATCACCCGGGTGTGCTACTCTGGCACGTACCTATGCAAATCTTCACTTTCAGTCCTCCAAGTGAGCAGCGTCCTTGATCATTCAAGAGGACAGCTGCACCTTTTGTTACAGGGTTTCAATGAGGAAGGAGAACAACAGAACCTCAGAATGTCAGTTGAGCACTATCACATTGTGGAATGGATTTCCCTTTAAGCAGATTTGATGCTTTGAAGTGAACTTTAAGAGTGTACTTGATCTTACTGCATACTTGATGTCTGATTAAGGATTTGCTATTTTCTACAATCAGAATCTGTAGCCACCTGTGATCATGCTGGAATTTACCTGCAGGAAGGAGCTCAGCTTAACTGTCAGCTGCCTCCCTCCATGTCCCCAGTCACAGAGTGCTGCCTTCCACCTCGTCCTTACCCTGCTAGTTATCATTACCTGGCTAATGTGGCCTAGGCAAGGCTACGGACTCAAATGACCTGTGCCCAGAATAGACCTTTCTGTAGCTGTCAAGGTGGGAATTAGCAGGCAATCCACTGGCCCCACTCAGTAGACTCAAGTGGGGTCTGGACATGTTCTCACCTGTGGGCCGACACCCCCACACCCACCATGAGAGGCAGAGGTGGCAAGACAGAAAATAAGCTATCTGGGGAGTAAAACAGACAGGCCGGAAAATGTGAACACTGAGACCTGTCCCTGGTGTGAGTCTCCTCAGTGGCTCAGCAGAGCTGAGCAAGGATTTGCTGGGCACCATGCAGGGTTGCAGGTACATAAGAATCTGTACTGTAGGAGGCTTGGGGGTCTGGCACACAGGTGTGTAGGGTACAGAGAACCTTGGCCCCTGCTCTGGGAAGGTAGAGGAGAAAAACTGCATTCCCCTGAGGAGATGGGTGGGCGACCCCAACAGCAGCATACAGGAACCTGTCTGGGACAACTGGAAAGCCTCCAGTTGTGCTCTGTGATTGGTTTTCTGAAACTGAGATTGTGAGGTGTGAAAAATGACCTTATGATGTCCCCAGGCCTAGGGACAGTCATACCTCCTCAGGGCTCTCAGACACACAGACTGCAAGGATAGCCTTTCACTGGCTGGAGACAGGTCTGTCTTAGTAGCAAGGACCCATAGACCCAGGACATAGGCCACATGGTGGCGCCACATATGCCACATGGTGGTCCAAGATGAGGGAATCCCTGGGAGAAAGGGACTGGACTTCGGGGCCTGCCTGAGCCACTGAGGACCAAGCGGGGAGTGAGAAGGGGACACACAGTTGTGTCTGAAGATCAGAATTTGCTTGGCTCCAGAGTCACTACTGGCGCCTGGGAAGGCAAAGATAGGGACTGGAAGTTGTTCTCATTCTGACCTGCTGTGACCACGAGGTGCAGCTGTTTGTGCCCTGACCCATCACCTCTATTGCAGCTGGAGGCTTGGAGGTGACCTGTGTCCTACAAACTGTCCGCAACTCACCTTGCCCAGAAGAGGGCAAGATAGGGGCAGCCAGGGTTGCAACATCACAGCCCCGGTCACAGTGCAGTAGTTGTGGGGTCAGGTAGCACTGCACTTGGCCTGACCCATGAGCCGCTGATCGCACTGCATGGCAGTGGGAGGTACCTATCGGAGGGGCAATGGGACACATTTGGTTGTTGTGTGGGCATTCCTCAGTCATGCTGGAGGTTCAGGTTTTCATTGGAACATGCCACCACACAGGATGGGAGCAAAGCCAGACTTGTGTTGCTTAACATTGCATTAAAAATCTCGGTTCTTTTGTGGAAACCAAGTCTCATAGTATAGTGGTGACTGTGTTTGTGGGTGCTGCATGTGACCCATGTACTCTGCCTCCAGGTAAAGGCCGGCGAGTACAGCCTCAGTGGTCCCCTCCAGCTGGGACTGAGCCATGCAAGCTCCGCCTGTACAACAGCCTCACACGGAACAAGGTAAGGAGGGTCAGGCAGCATGTGTGTTTGCATGCACCCAGGAGTCAAGGCATCCTCTGCCCCTGCAAAGAGCAAGGTTGTCTGTTCACTGTGGGCTCCAGAATCCCCTCAATCCAGGTTCAGGATCCTTCTGTTGCTTCCTGTGTTGTGGCCTCTAACCCAGGCAGAGCTGTGCTCTGAAACTCTTTGACACCATTCAGGACGCCTTCTGGAAGCCTGCCTGCCAGCACTCGGCATGAATTGCCTTGCTGGTCTAGCTGGATGTGTGCGTGGCTGAGTGCTCAGGACACTCGCAGCCGGACCAAGTACTGGCGTGCTGTCAGGACATGGGTACAGCAGGCGTTGCTGTGAACTAAGCAGAATGGGCATAGGCAAACCTGCCAGGTATTCTTGGAGCCCAGCAGAGAAGGCAGGTCCAGCTGCTCACTGAACTGGCTTGCTTGGCTTGCCTCTCCTGCTCAGGCTGTGGCTGGTGGCTCCTGAGGTCGCAGAAAGGATTCCAGCCCTAAGAGGTTGGATTATTTTTGTTCAGCAAGGTACAGGCCAGGGGGACAGGCATGGGACAGGGCACTGTCTCTGTATGGAACTCATTGGTCATGACTGCCCCAAGAGGTCTGAGAGTGTTGGACTATCTGGTCTCCAAGCTCGACTCCCCTACAAGGGACAGACCCTGGCCACCAGCCTTCAGCCTCTGTGCCTTTTGTGGAGAAGAAAGCAGCAGTGCTGGCCCCCTAAGGAGCATGAGCTCTTCACAGGGTGCAATAACTATTAGCTGTGGTTATTAAATAAACAGCATTTCCACGAGACAAAGAAGCATTATTGCCTTCAAAGAAGAGCAGGATCGCAGGGATGAAGGGCCTCGAGCTACCAGAGCTCAAGTCAGTAGATAGCACGGAGGATGTTCTCCCTAGGCCCCTGCCAGATCACTGTGACTTTCAGTGAAATGAAACGGTTCTTGTTGAACCCGTTTGTGTAAAACAGAACAAACCAGTGTGATGTTTGTTACTGCTTTTGGTGCTCCTGTACAGTGTTTCTGGAATTTCATGTGATCGTCCTTCCTTCGTTTCTAACAAGGATGTGTTCATACCTCAAGATGGGAAAAAGGTGACGTGGTACTGCTGTGGGCCAACTGTCTACGATGCATCTCACATGGGACATGCCAGGTGGGTTTTAAAGCTCTGAGTGGTCCATGCTCACTGCCAGAAGATGAGGACAATCAAAAAGGAGGATGGCCAAGAGCCCTACGGCTGCCACCCCCAACATCTCCCTCATCTCTCCAGCTCTGAGGGTCCCTGGGGGCAGAGTTGCCCTGACATACCTGAGGCTGACTGGGCTCTGACCCACCTCTGGGTGCTGCAGGTGTGGCTTGCCAAGAGTAGACAGCTCCTGGGGTAGAGGCCACAGAATCCTTTACAGTACAGGTTGAGTTTCCCTCATCTGAAATGCATGGCTCAAAAGTGTTTTGGATTTTTCTTCTGATTTGGAATTTTGCAACATTTAGAATATTTTCATGTGTGTTTTACGTATACCTCATATACATAGGCTGAAAGCAATTTTATACAATACTTTTAACAATTTTGTGTATGAAACAAAGCTTCATGGTATAGGATTTTCTACTAGTGATATCACAAGGACACACAAAAGAACTTTAGATTTTCAGCAAAGTGCAGTAGGTCATGCCTGTACCCCCAACTGCTTGAGAGGCTGAGGCAGGAGGACCATGAATTTAAGGCCAATTTAGCAAGACCATATGTCAGAAAATCTATTTTCTTCTCAATACTAGGGATTGAACCAAGGACCTTTGACTTGAGCTTCATCCCCAAGCCATATTAGTTTTGTTGTTGGTTGGTTGTGGGTTTTTTGTTTATTTGTTTGTGTGTTTTGTTTTTGAGACAGGGTCTCACCATGAGTTCAGGCTGGCCTTGAACTCACTGTGTAGCCCAGGGTGGCTTTGAACTGTATCCTCCTGTCAGCCTCCCAAGTGCTAAGATTACAGGCATGTGCCAGCCATACCTGGCTTTATTTTATATTTTGATAACACGCTCTTACTAAATTGCTGTATTGCCCAGGCTAGGCTTGAACTTGTGATCCTGCCTCAACCACTCAGAATGCATGGTCCACCACACTCAGCTTCTGAAAGAAAATTTTTAAGAGGGCAGAAGATGTGGCTTAGTGGTAGGCCCTAGGTTCAGTCGCCAGTATGACCAAACAAAACAAAACAAACACACCTTGGGAGCATTGTGGGTTTTAAGATTAGGGATGCTCTGCCTGTAAATGTCATAGTTGCAGTGCTGAGCTTGTATATATAGTGTGTACTGATCATAAATGTGTTCTTTCATTGCTTTAGGTCATATATCTCTTTTGATATCTTGAGAAGAGTGTTAAAGGATTATTTCCAGTATGACGTCTTTTACTGTATGAACATTACAGACATTGATGATAAGGTAAAAAAAAAAAAAGAACTGTTCCACATTAAAATTAAAATATGAGCCAGGCATAGTGGCACAAGCCTATAATCCCAGCACTTGGGAGGGTGAGGCAGGAGAATCCCCCTGAGTTAAGGGTAGCCTGGGATACACAGCAAGACCTGGTCTCAAAAAAAAAAAAAACCTAATTAATTAATTAAAATATAAGTGATGCCATGCGTGGAGATGGGACTTTCAGAAGAGTAGATGAAATGTCATAGACTTGAGCTAGCTCAGGGCTGACTTACAAACATTACATGAATCCCCGAATGTAGTGATTTTACAGTTTATGAGAGTGTAGGGTCATTTGTGCATACGTGTAGATAACCACTAGAAACCCACATGTCCAAGGACTACATTGGTTAAGTGTCGCATGCCTGAGGCCTTGGGAAGCAAGGCCAGCTCTGTGCGGCTCTGCAGGGAAGCTCACCTGGCGCCTGTTTCTTAGGCATCCAGAAGTTCATAGTAGACCTCAGCCCTGCTGGGCAGGTGGGAGGTAGAGGGCAGTACTGGTGACCCATGGAGCTACACAGTTCGGTCCAGTGGCTGTCCCCACACCACCCTCATCTCCACTCAGCTGCTGAGGTGAGAGCAGCATGGTGCATGTTTCTGGGAGTAGCTCTGAGCATGGCTTGGTCCCCTCCCTCTGCAGATCATCAGGAGGGCCCGGCAGAACTACCTGTTTGAGCAGTATCGGGATCAGAAGCCCCCAGCCGCCCAGCTCCTGGAGGATGTTCAGGCTGCCCTTAAGGTGAGCCCTCATCTCTGCCCTAGACAGTGTGCCCTTCTATCCCCTTGTCCTTGTCCCTGCTCGTGACTTTTGGTAACTATCTGAAAGGTGATGTCATTGTCCCCTAGGGGGCCTGTCTGGGAAGACCCTCACAAAGCAGTACCCAAGCTGATTCCATCAGGAGTACTGATGTCTCTGTAGGTGTGGCCCCCAGTCCTGGAGAAGGTCACCAGGACAGATGTGCAAGGACATGGTGTAGATGGAGGTGGCACTCCTGCCATTTACAGGAAATGTGTGATCGGTCTCCATGCCTATAATCTCAGCTCTTGATAGTGCTTCACTGTATCACTCTCAAGTCCTCAAAGCTCCACATCACAGCCGATCTGATACTTCTAACTCAAAAGCAAGGCTATGCTAAGCTTCTTAAAACCATTATTACGTTCACAGTACTATATCTTTTCAGGACTGTTAAAGAAATTAGTTCCCGCCAATTTAATAATTTCACTCTGAATAAGCATTATAAATGTATAGTTCTTTGTATTACATAGTATGACTACAGTAGATCATTTTATTCTCTTTAATAAATACTAGTTTCCTTTAGTAATTACTGGTATGTTTATGGTATTTTAGCTCAAAGAAAGGAACCACATGAAGTTAGAGCATGGCTATCTTGCAGGCCCACAGGGCTTGCTGGATGTACCACCTTGCTTTATCCACAAAGTAGGGGTATCGGCTCTGCTGTCACTCGTATTTTGCATGGGTGAACCAGGCTCAGCGCAGTTATGTAGCCTGTCCAGTCACATGGGAGAGCACAGTTCCAGGACTGCCTAGGCTGGGGGCTCAGGTCTCATCTACTTAGAATCAGCTCCATGAACCAGGTTTCTGTGTAGTGTCTAACAGGTATGTCCTTATGGTTGTAGCCTTTTACAATGAAGTTACATGAGACCACGGATCCAGACAAGAGGCAGATGCTGGAGCGAATCCAGCAGGCGGTGGAGCTGGCCAGAGAGCCACTTGAGCGAGCTGTGCACGCCAGCCTTCCCGGGGAGGAAGTGGACAGTCTTGCCCAGGTGAGCTCTTTGTGTGTCCCAGTGGCCTTCCTGTGTAGGACAGCATGCTCTGCCCTGGATTGTTTTCATTTTGCACTTAAATGCCCTGGCACACAGCTCTGTTACTCCTCAGTGACTGGTGGCCCCCTTCTTTGGTGACCTTGTCAGTGCCCCCTCCCATTCCACACCCCACAGCCCCATTTCCTGGTTTCAGAGCTCAGGGCCACTGCTGTGGGACCTGGGATCCTTCAGGATCCCACCTCGATGCTACTTCCCCTTCTGGTGAAATTAATTATCTAGTGGACCCTTTCTGGCATTTCTTCCTGGCAGCAGCTGGAGAAAGAGGAGCCAGGTTTGAAGTTGAAACAAGCAGCTGATTCATGAGTATCTGCAGGGCTGGGATGTCTCACTGGCATGTTCTCTAGCTGCTGAAGATCTTCAGACACCTGACAGTGTGCCCAGCCAAGTTCCTCCAAGCCTTCCCGCCTCCTGTCCAAACACAGGAAGGTCCTTCTCCTTTCCACCAGCGCCCCCTGCTGGTAAACTCATTGGAGACAAGTTGAGCTCACTTGCTAGGAAACAGTAGGAGAGTCGTTTGCAATGCCAGCTCCAGGACATAGCAGCGTCAACCCTCTCAGTGTCCTGTGTCCACTACCTCTGCCTGCCCCTGTGCCCCTACCTCAGTCTGCCACTCTTATCTTTCATTCTTTTTTTTTTTTAGTTTTAGTTTTAGTTCTTCTGGGTTCCCACACAACAGAGTGGCTGGTGTGGCGGTTTCTGAGACATTGTGCTTGGTGTGGGCCTTGTTCCTGAGACAGGCCCTGCACAGCACTGTTCCTCCTCCAGTGCGTGCCTCGGGCTGAGTAGCTTACCTGTGCTTCTGGGACCTTGTTCCTTGTCACCAGCAAGTCTACCATAAAACCTTTTCCCTAATTGTTCTTCCAATATCCTTGCTTAAAGAAATTATGCTGAAACATACACAACACAAGAGTTACCATTTCAGTCATTTCCAGGGCATTAGGCACATTCACATTATTATGGGGCCATCTCCACCATCCATCTCTAGAACTGTATCATCTTCCCGAAATAGTCCAAGACTAAGGCTTCTGAACTGGGGCAAGGTGCTCGACCTCCATCACACCCTGGCAGAAGGAAGGGCAGGAGAGTGTGTTACCCTGTTCCTGAGGGTGGAGCTCTCAGATTTAAACACCTACTGTTAGGCCCCACCTCATAGGACTATTGTATTGGGAATGAAGTTCTCAGCACATGATTCTTACAGACCGTAGCAAGCAGCCTTTATTAGGAAAAACAGAGTGTTCTGATATATTTTAGGATGTCACCTCTTCCCATCTGGGCATAGTGGCACCACATACTTGTAAACTCAGCTCTCAGAGGCTGAGGCAAGAGGATCACAAGTTCAAGTTTAGACTGAGCAATTTAGTGACCCTGTCTCAAAAAGAAAGGCTAGGGATGTAACTGAGTGCAAAAGCTTTGGGTTAAATCCCCAGTACCATGAAACAAAAAGAATGGTTCATCTCCCTTCCTGCTGGAAGTATGAGGGCATAGTTTTCTCTATGTTCATCCTGAGAACCTGGTCACATTTCTGGGGAGATACCTCAGAATAGTGACCCCTGTGATGGGGCCACCTTGGAGATTTTATTCTCAGGTGTGGCACCTTGAGGCCTCAGTAGTTCCCCAAGTAGAGTTGTACCTGTCTAGCCCCACACTGAGCCTGCAGAATTTCCTGCTTCTAAGTCTGCCCAGGGGAGCCTTACTTCTCTGTTCTCCCTCCTCTCTGTAGTTGAGGCTGCAGTTTGCTATGTGACTTCACCTCTCTGCGGTTGAGGCAAGTCTGCCGTGTGACCTCACTTCTCTAGGCCTAAGAAGGGTGTTTTCTGTGTTCAGCTCTTTGCCTCTTGTTAGGCTGGAGGGGCAACTTCCTGGCTTGTGACACAGTCCCTGGAAATATTCACAGTTGACTGGCACTGGCCTGGAATTCTGCATGTCACCACCTTTCCCAAGGAGGCCAAGCTGCTGAGCTCTGTCCTTCTCCCTCACTTTCGTGGCTCTGGTTCTGGAGTAGCTTGTTACCAGCACGTGCCTCGAGTACCCGTGTGAATCCCACCTTGCCCTCTGGTGCATGGGGTCCGCCGAGCTACCTGTAAGGCTCACTGTGGCACCACTGCTGTGTCTTGGTTTTCCTTTGGCCTTTGTGTGGTTAGTACTGCTATTAGTTCACTCCTTTCATGTGCCAGGCCGTCCGTCTCCTTCCCCGCCTGCTGTCTGGTGCTCAGCTGTGACATAGTACTGTGGATGCATAATTGAGGGACCGGGACTTCTCTCGAGCTGTACAGTGTCTTATCACTTTCTCTTTGCTCACCACTCTGATTCCATCTTTGTTTCTCTGAGCATTTGGCCTTGCTGTTTTTCCTGTGCATCTTACAACTCTCACATCAGAAGCCTTGCAGGTGTTGTCTCTGCAGACTCCTCTCACTGTCACTTATCCTTGGGTATATGTTGACCTTAACTAGGATTTCATTCTTGCTGGGTCATGGTCTGGCAGTCCATTCGGGGCTACCTTTGGAAGTTTCTGTGCCTGTACTTGGGGCAGGCCCGTGTCTGCTTTCCAGGCAGTGATAGACGGACAGCCTCTGCCTTCCTGGGGTGCAGGCTGAGCCTTTTCTCCTTGTCTCCACTGGTGGCCCACCATAGTGGAGGAGGACCAGAGCATGCCCTGTGCTTGCCTTGCCAGTCACAAGTCCAGCCACATTTTAGCTACTTGTGCCATGTTGTCCAGGAGCTGTTGCCAGAGTATGTGTCATAGCCTGACCCGTGCAGTACCTTTTACCCCTTCTTGCCAGCACGCTGGGTGCTCTGTCCACACTATGTGTCCTTGTTCTCTGCTGGGTTGTCTTTCTGCACTTGCTCACCTTTCGTTGCTTCTGCTCAACAGCAGACTGCCTGTGTGGCCCCACATGCCTATTACTGCTCAAGCTAAAAAGCTAAAAATGCTAGATTCCTCCAAGAGAGATTGAGGACAGGTGTTTCCCCAGTCTGATGAGAATGCAGTTGGAATATGTTTCTTAGCACCAGTGGATGTAGCCAAGGGGTACACTCAAGAGGCACTGTTGTAGTGAGCTGGTCATGTAAGCATCACTGTTCCCCTAGAGATGGTGACTCCTCATAGAACATGGCTGTGCGTGTCTTTGAGTTCAGGGCCCTGAACGGCTCACACCACCTGCATTATGTAGATGTGCTCATGTGAAATCTAGTCACATTGGGTGTTCCATTTCTTTTCCTTTAGGCATTGATGGAAGAGGCCAAGGACTTGCTTTCTGACTGGCTAGATTCCACGTGTGGCAGCGAAGTGACTGACAATTCCATTTTCTCCAAACTCCCGAAGTTCTGGGAAGAGGAATTCCACAGAGACATGGAAGCACTGAACGTGGGTGTCCTGGGTTGCCTTATCCTTGCTTTCTCTGGTCACGGGCCTCAGTTTCCACCTTACTGTTCTGGTAAAGCCAGAAGCTCTTGTGTGATCCACAGCTTATTCCTTCTGCAAGCTCAGCTAAGTAGCTAAGTCAATGTTGAACTTAAGCAGGAGGAGCAGGGCTTTTTTGTTTAAAATGTAGAATTTTCACTTTCGTTGTCTCCATGCCTAGCACATATGGATGCCCAGAAGATAAATCAAAACTCTGAGGGCAGAAGACTATTGCAAGGCAAGTCCTTGTTAGAATCATTATTGCTTCCCGAGGCCTCTGGTCAGGAAAAGGAAAGAAAAGACTGGGAGGCTGCCCACAGACCCCCGGGCATGTCAAAGACACAGAAGGAGTAGGCTTTTCAATAAAATAATCTTTGGCATGGCTGTGCCTGAGATAGACTCTGTGATTCACATTTTACAGACAAGGGACCCAAGACTCCTCTAAAGCCACTGGCCCAGGCTCACAGATAGATAGCAGGGCAGAAACAATCTGGGGAGCCCATACAGCCCAGGCCCAGTATAATCACTTACTCTCTAGACCATGCAGGGTTCTTGTTTTAAAAGTCAGTGACGGGCTGGGGATTTAGCTCAGTGGCACAGCGCCTGCCTGGCAAGCACGAGGTTGTGAGTTTGATTCCCAGTGCTGGAAAAAAAAACCAAAAAAAAAAAAAAAATCAGCAATATCATTTTCATTTACCATGTTCACAGGAAGCAGAAATGTGAGGGGGACAATGCTGAGCCTCTCCTTTGTCACCCACATAGGTCCTCCCTCCTGATGTCTTAACCCGGGTCAGCGAATATGTGCCGGAAATCGTCGACTTTGTCCAGAAGATTGTGGACAACGGTTATGGGTAAGCACAGGTCAGGGCCTCTCTCTACCTCTGCCTGTCACCATTCCAGAAGGAGCGGCTCCCCAACTTCAGGTCCAGGATGCTGGGCCACTTGTGTTCTGGGATCAATGGCTAGATTGACCACATCTTCACACTCACCCCCAGCAAGAGCTTTGCTTGCAGTTAGCTCCTGGTGCTGTTGCCATCATTTTAAGATAGCTTTAAAACAAAACCCTTGGATTGTTTTTTTTATTTCATAGTAGCTACCATTGTGATAGGTATCTATCATGCAGACGCCACCTTGTTGCTTGAGGCCAGAAGCAAGAGGGAGCAGGTGACCACATCCTAGATTGTTGCAAAGCCCCCAACAGGTTTCCGCTTGCTCTCTGGCTGAGCCCAGGGCTGAAGAGTTTGTATCTGGCTGATGAGCACCTCTAGATGGGCCTAGAGCCCCATGGGCGTGCCACTGGAGGGACTTGGCCCAAAGTCTTCTAGGAAACTAGGCAGTTAAGGCCACAGATAATATTCCTAGAGCAGCATGGTAAGGAACATGGACACTGTGAGGCCTTTGGAGACATCAGCACCACTCGGATGCTCTAAGATTATACATCCTGGCGTGTTGTTCCCAAGAGTGTATGCATTTCTGCGGTGTCCTGCTAGCTGTGATTGTAGTGCACACATTACCCTGCACTGGGTGTCCATTCCGGCACAACCACAAGAAACACTTCCCACAGCTTGGAAGTTAGTGTTCATAAAAGGAGCCCCTGATGGGAGTATAGCCAAACCTAGGTCTCTGTGGGCAGCATTCAGCCCCTGCTGGTTCCATCCTACTCAGGGAGGGCCACCCTACTTGTCACGGTGCTTCGGGGGGCCCTGGGAACTGGGCCCAACCTTGGGTTGTTTCCCTTTCCACTTGGCTGTGCAGACGAGATGAAGAAGTAAGGACTCTGTGCTTGGTGCCTACATCAGCACCAACTCTGAAGGGCTAGTGCTGCCCCTCTCCCCTCTTAACCCAGGTCACTGCTGGGCAGCGTGAGATTGTGGCCAGCTGAGCTGCACAGATAAACCTGGGTCAGGAGACCTGGAGGCTTCCGGAGAGTCGTAGCAGAGCCACCAGGTGGTGGAGTGCAGGCTCAGAGGAAGATAAGGGCATGCCACATAAGGCAGTGTCGTCACCAGGTAAGGCCAGGCTAGAACGGCATGGCCACAGGACACCAGGCAGGACATGCTGTTAGGCAGTAAGGAAGCCACCTTCATCGTGGGAGGCGTTGTCTTCGCTCCACTCAGCCCACACAGTGACCGTGGCTTCAGGACATCCACAGGGAGAGCAGGAGAGAGGCTTGGGTGGACCTTTTGCCTTGTGACTCTCCAGCCCCCAGTGATTTTCAGACCATTTTCCTGGGGAGTGTCTGGATCCATTAGCCACCCCACCCCCCCACCCCCCCCGTTCCTCTTTTGTTTTCTAGCTATGTATCAAATGGGTCTGTCTACTTCGACACGGTGAAGTTTGCTGCCAGTGAGAAACACTCCTATGGGAAGCTGGTACCTGAAGCTGTTGGGGACCAGAAAGCTCTTCAGGAAGGAGAAGGTAAACACAAAACAGAATGCATGACTGTAATCCCAGCACTCGAGAGCCTGAGGCAGGAGGATTGTTGTGAGTTCAAGACCAGCCTGGGCTACAAAGGGAGCTCAAGGTCAGCCTGAACTGTATAGTGAGACTCTGTCTCAAAAAGACAAAAAAAGAAAAAAAAAAAACCAGAATGCATGAGTGAGGATTTCTTCCTCACATATGGCCTGAGCAGTGTTTACTTCATGGCCACCGTGGATGTCCTGAGCCCATTCCTGGCATTCACTGAGAATCATAATGTTTCTCCTGAGGGCTTTTCAGAAGTTTTCCACACAAGGAGATTGAAAGTGCATTGCTTCTTAAGAAACAGCCGTGTGAGGTGGCGTATACCTGTAATCCCAGCACTCAGGAGGCTGAGGCAGGAGGATTGTTGCAAGTTCAAGACCAGGCTGGGCTACAAAGTGAGCTCAAGGCCAGCCTGAACTATATAGTGAGACCCTGTCTCAGAAAGACCAAAAAAAAAGAAGAAGAAAGAAAGAAACAAAGGAAGGAAGGAAGAAAGGAAGGAAAGAGAGAGGGAAGGAGGGAGGGAAGAAGGAAGGAAGGAAGGAAGGAAGGAAGGAAGGAAGGAAGGAAGGAAGGAAGAGACTATTGTGCATCCTGCCAGGCACAGTACCCCAGGGTGTTGATGCTTGGGGACGTAAGGTTAGGGCGGCCTGGGGGGCTCAGGTGTGTGCAGAGTGACACATATTTGCTAATCTTTATCCAAATATTTTAAACATAGAGTTAACTAACCTCTTGGTAGACTGGGCAGAATCACACTTGAAACTTGCATAAGCATTTTCTCCATACTTTGCCCATGAGTGAGGATTTGACTACACCTACAGAGTCCAAGGTTGGAGAGGTCACTGCAGAGTAGGGATTCCTGTCACCTCAGACACATTTTCCTCCTGCTCCCATGTTTCTTAGAGGCAGTTTGGCCATTAAAGTGTATGTTTTGATCAAGTACTTTCACCTTTAGGGCTGTATTTTTGAAAATCAGACTCTAAAACCAAGCAAGACAGTACAAACACTAGAAAAGGCCTGAGCCAGCTTAACAACAGAAATGTCAGTGGAGTTTAAGACTCCAGTGTGCATTTATAGGCATAAAATGGGTGAGTTCATGGTGATAAAGCTCTTGTCTGCCAAGAGGACTGAACCACAGACCGCCCCGTGCCAGGAGCCAAAGAGCCCAGCATACCTGTATTTGTACACTTCTCAGTGGATAGTTATAGCAGGCTGAGAATTGATCAGGGCATGAAAGGTAACAGGTGTGGTCTAAGATTTCTTTTAAGCACCCAAACCACATGCCAGACCACGGAAGGCAGGCTACACAGTCCCAAAGAACTGCTGTCTAGGAGACCAGGTTCTCCCAGCACAGTGCAGTTGGAGGAGGTTCCGACTCTAGGGGACATGTGAGAGTTACAGACGCACCTGGAGTTCATGCTCCTAAATTCCTCAGAGGAGGGTAGCTGCAGAGGAGAGGGTTCAGAGCTGGACGGTAGCCAGAGCACTTGCAGTACTTTGAGTGCACCCTGGTGCCGGGTAGGTGTGGCTGTGAGTAGACAGGAGGAAGTGCTGAGCCAGGCAGTCATGCATAAAGCTAGGAAAGAAGAGCACTGAGTGGAGAGAAAGCAAAGGAAGGAATAAAAGTAAAGGCAGATTTATGAGATGGGAATCATTTAACAAGCCTAAAGCTGGTCCTGCACAAAGATTAATAAAGTAGAAAAACTTACAGCCTATAGGGTGAAAACAGAACAAGCCTGTGGATATAACAGAGTTTCATAAATCCTCAGAGGGAACCAGGGGTAGCACGCTGTGGCAACGTAGAGATATATAGAGATACAGGCCCAGCATAGGAGGCAGGGGTGAAGGCCAGCAACTGGGTGTGCAGAAGGAAAGTTCTGGAGTGCTGAGAGCCCCTGGCCCTTGCCCTCTTGCTGTTGGACCCCATCTGGCTGTCCTTTTGCTTGATTCTTGGACCTATTCTACCAAAGTAACCTTAGGGTTAGGGTTCAGATTCTGAGAACAGTAAGAGCAGAGCCCAACGTGCCCATAAGGACATTGCCACCTGCCTTGTGACACCATCAGACCTCACAGCCCTTACCACCTACTAAAACAGCTTGGAAATGTGTTTTTCCCTCTGTGCTGTCCCTACTGCTGACCTCTGGGGACTCAGGTAGCCGAAAAGGGATAGGTGATACCAGGCTGACAGTCTTGTGGTAGCCTGCTCATTCCTCCAAGCAAGAGGCTTTGTACACTCAGAAGACACACACACACACACACACACACACACACACACACACACGCTGGGGAAGCCAGGTCACAGTAGCACCTGATGGGGGCCTGACCTTGCAGTGAATACCTTGCAAGCCTGTGAGGTCACAGGAAATGAGGCCAAGAAGGAGAGAGCAAAAGGGATTGTGTGATTTATTTCTCTTAAAAATTTGAAGCAAGGCCTAGCGGGTGTGGCTCAGTGGGAGAGCATCTGCCCAGCACACATCAGGCCTTAGGTTCCGGTCTCAGCACTGGAAAAAAAAAAATAGAGGAAATAACAAACATCAAATAATGACATAATGAGAGAGAGATAGGTAATCATCTTTGTTATAAATTTTTTCAAAATGTACTTTTAAAAGTAATCAGATACAAATATTTATGGGTAAGTATATTCAGTAGAATAACAAAAATCTAAACATCCGTTATCTGACAAGTGAAGGGTGAGAATGTCATGAGCTATGCTATGCCAAGTGTGATTCTGGACAATCACTGGTGGCAGAGCAGCGAGGAGACGGAAACAAGGGTAGGGTCTGACCTGTGTGCTGTATGTGTTTGTGTTTGGTTGGAAGATTTTTTTTTTTTTAAATCTGCAAATAATTACACTGCAATATAAGCAGTAATTATTCCTGGTTTCAAAGATGACAGCAGTGTATCCGTGTTCACATGCTTCATGTTCAGTATGGCACATGTTTTATTATCACACGCCCATGTCTTAGAACATCCTCAGCACTGTTTCCCTCCAACCATCCCCAGGGAAACACAGGCCCTTCATTTTTGATTCCTCAAAAGTTGGAGCAGCACTTAGAGCCCGCAAACTGGGGTCCTGAGATGGAACCACCTTCCTGTTCTGGGACTTTTCACAGCAGTGATGGCACCTGGGGGAGGATGCAGGGCCAAGCACATCCTGAAAGACCAGGGCTGGTCCAGGGGTGCTTTGCTGGGGCAGAAGGCCTTTGCTCAGCCCACTCACCAAACAGATTGACGCTTATATTAGTGCTTACAGGAGCTTTCAGGGCTGAGGCAGGCACATGCTCTGAATCAGATTTAATGTAAGACACAGAAATTTACACGACTGACCTACAGCGACCTCCCACAGAGTCAAATTGAGAAAGCACACAAAAGATCTGTTTGTGCTAGAGATTTAAAGGATCCAGCTGAAAGCCTGGAGCCCATAGGAATGTCATGTATAAGTCCACATGCGGCCACAGAATCTATGATGGAAGGCCAGGGGGTCTGCACCAGGAGGTCAAAGGGCCTGTGCAGCAGACTGAAGGGCTAGTGTTGAAGAATCTGAAGAATCTACCCTGAAAGCCAGGAGACAGTGCCCAAGGCAAAGGGAAAGGCAAAGACCGGAGCTCCTCCAAAGAGAACAGCCAAAGCTTCTCAGGAAAATCAGCTGAAATCTTTTTACACTGTTTGGACAGCTATCCTCCTTAAAGTGGGTCTTCTACACCCAGAACCATGCTGATTTAGTTCATCTGGGTATTCCCTACTCAGGTTGACAATCAATTAACCACCACAAGGCTCTCTTCCTGCTCTTCTCATATCCACCACGGCGTACTCCACGGGTCCTGGAGATCCCTGTACTGAGTGCCAGGCTGCTATGGTATTCTGGCCATTGTTTGTTTTCCTCTAGTCACTTTGTACCCAGTGTGCCACTGGCCAGGCCCTCCAAGCCAGTGCATAGAATCTACCCAACACATTGCCTCCATCTGCCTCTGGGAGACCAAAAGTGCCTGACCCCTGGCCCGTCCAGGAGGCGTACCTACAGTGTGCACTGTGCTCACCATGCTTGCGGGCTGCTGCTTAGCTTGCCAGTGTGTGCTCCTTGTAAGTCTTGGAGGAACACTGTCACCACTCACCCCAGGTTCCATGAAGCCACACACATCAGTCAGCTATGCCTTCATGTCTCTTGGACCCACAGGTGTGGCAACAGCTGAGCAGGCTATTGACCCCGAGAACCTAGTTGCATGAACACAGTCCCCAAGCCTGTGTACTACATCACCTAACTGCAACCCAGGGCCCATGGCTTGTCCTAGAGGGGTGCACGGCCTCATTTGTGAAGGGCAGGGAGAGAGGAGTGCAGCTGCAAGCCTCAAGGCTGCTGGAGGTCTGGCACAGAGGTCTGGCTTGGGAGCTGGTGAGCAGTACCGCGTACCTAGGCCCAGGTTAGCTCTGCTTTCTGTCCAGTACATTTGGGAGTGCTTGAGCCAAGTTAATAAGTCAGCGAGAAGGCATGGCTGATGGGGTGGGCATTGTGTGAGGGCTCACCACTAACGGTCGCAACTTCTTGGGTTCTTGCTGTATCTCAGGAACAAACAGTGGCGAGAATGAGGAAAAGATAGACAAGAGAAAAAAAGCTGTGATCAGGAGGAGATCCTCTTTCTTCTGAGCGGAGGAGAGGACCTGCCCAAGAACAGTAGAGCTTTTATTTATACCCTTGAGAGGTGGATAATTAACTTCAGCCTGTCTGCCCAGCAATCAGTTAACAAGCTGCAACAGCTTGTTTACATGCTTTGGGGAGCTCCCGTGTTCTCGGGCTGGCTTCCTTCTGCACACATAATTACTTTCCAGCTTTAGCCACTCCCAGCAAGTAACCTTCCCACCTTCTTGGCTCATTCACAGGTGACCTGAGTGTTTCTGCAGACCGTCTAAGTGAGAAACGCTCCCCCAACGACTTCGCCCTGTGGAAGGCCTCCAAACCAGGAGAACCATCCTGGCCGTGCCCCTGGGGGAAGGTAAGTGAGTGGCTGAGAAAGCACGAGGCTGGGGAAGAGACAGTATTATAGGATGCTTACGTCAGCCATACTCTCATGTGGTCCCCCTGAGAGGCAGCTCTGCATGTTAGGGACACTGCCACTGGGCCAGAAACTGCTGTTAACCCAACGCGGATCTGCAGAGGCCAGGAGACCTGACATCACAGAGATTTCCTGGGTCTCTGGATGAGCCATTTCCTTTCCTGAGACTTCAGTTTTCTGCTCTGTGAGTTGAGAGTGTGGTCAGATTCAGGTGCCTCCACGTCCCCTTAGTTCTCTTGTACCGTGACTCTTAAGTTGAGTTTTCCCCACTCCAGAAGGCAAGGTGGCCCTGTGACATTCCTGTGACCACAGCACTACTGCAGAATGTTGTGGGAGGGGATATGGCCAGCTGCCACTTTTTTTAATTTAGTATATGTTTGTGATACATAGTAATTATGTTCATCCTGGGGAATTAGTGTATACACATACCACATCTTAATCATTTTTACTTCTCTTCTCCCTCTGCTCCGCTCCCACTTCCTCACTTTTGAGTGCTGGGGATTCTTAGAGGAATTCCTCAGCTTCAGGAAAGCCTTGGCCACTAGGAGACTGTGTCGAACTCCACAAGAGGTTGCTCTTAGTCTTTCCAGGTGTGGACTTGAATTCCTGTTGCCATAGCATTCAGAAGGCTGAGAGCCTGTTAGCTTGGAGCAGTGAAGACCTGAGTGGGTGGCAGGGCTGGTCAGCAAGGGCTCTTCGTTTTTCCCCAGGGTCGTCCAGGATGGCACATTGAGTGCTCCGCCATGGCAGGCACGCTGTTGGGAGCCTCCATGGACATTCACGGAGGAGGATTCGACCTCCGGTTCCCACATCACGACAATGAGCTGGCACAGTCAGAGGTAAGTGAAGACAGTGGTCCCCTCTGTAGATGCAGACCACAGTATCCTTGCCATAACACTGGAGGGGAGTCTCAGCAGCCCTTAGGAAAGGCCTTCTTGATAGAATTTGTTGCCTATACCAAGGTTTGCAGAGAATTTGAACGTTGATCATTTCATCTGACCTTTCATCTGACCTTTCACCTGAATAGCCTGGCCTTTAGCAATAGACAGCCTCACATTGAAGCCAGTTGTGTTACCTACCGGCAGGTAACCTGGGGCAGTCCCCTCAAGCCCCATTTGCAAGACAGTGCGCACAAGCTAGGCAACACTGCCTTCAGTGTCAGGCACCCTCCTGACACTAGCCAAGCCATCCTTCCTGTCTCTTTCCTCACAGGCCTACTTTGAAAATGATTGCTGGGTCAGGTACTTCCTGCATACAGGTCACCTGACGATCGCAGGCTGTAAGATGTCAAAATCACTAAAAAACTTCATCACCATCAAAGACGCCTTGAAGAAACATTCAGGTAAGCACAGCCTCTCCCAGAGACTCGTGGGACCTCACACAGATGTGCAGTGAGGTGGCCACCTGGGGAGTAACGACGCCCCTGTGCTGTATGTACCCTTAGCACGGCAGCTACGGCTAGCCTTCCTCATGCACTCCTGGAAGGACACCCTGGACTACTCAAGCAACACCATGGAGTCAGCACTACAGTACGAGAAGTTCATGAACGTAAGTCCCCAGCTCTTGTGAGGTCAGGCACTGACCAGTGCCAGCACAAGGGTACCTATGGTTATGTGATGGGTTGGCATCCCATCCTGTGACAAAAGCCAAGGTTTGGGTGCATGCTAGTGGGTGCCATCACACAAGCTGTGTGAACATCACACAGCTTGGGAGACTTTGAAGAGGTCACGTTTCTCCTATGGAAGGCACATGTCACTCTAACTGGGCTTCCTGCCGAGCAAGTATCTCGTAGGCTGATTGAGGAACACGTTTCTGTCCCAACAAAAGAGCTTTCAGGCCTCTTGTGTAATGTGGTCTTGTGTATTGTGGTCATTCAGAGTTTGCCCGAAGTAAAATCAATTCAGGAGAACAGTTCATCAGAAATGTGCAGATGGAAATGTTTCCTTTTCTAACTTCAGGAGTTTTTCCTAAATGTGAAAGACATCCTCCGTGCTCCTGTTGACATCACTGGGCAGTTTGAGAAGTGGGAAGATGAAGAGGCAGAGCTGAATAAGAAGTATGGTGGGGCCTTTCCTGTGGGGCCGTGAGCATGAGCACGTTCTGTCCTGGTGGCGGAGGAGGAGGTCAGCACTGTCACATTCTGTGAGCCTCGCAGAATGTGCTGCCCCTCCTGATGGACTGCTCTGGCTGTTGAACTTGGTGGAGAACTTCTTTTGCCCAGTGTCAGTTCTGATCATTTGTATTCCTTTTTTCTCTTGCTCAGCTTTTATGATAAGAAGAAGGCAGTACACAAAGCCCTCTGTGATAATGTTGATACCCGCACTGTCATGGAGGAAATGCGGACCCTGGTCAGCCAGTGCAACCTCTATATGGCAGCCCGCAAGGCTGCAAGGAGGAGGCCAAACCGAGCTCTGCTGGAGAGCATTGCCCTGTACCTTACCCGCATGCTAAAGGTAAGCCAGGTCCCTTGTGTGGAACAGGCCTCTAGGGGCATTCATGTCTGCTGCATCCTGCCTGTGAAGTGAGATGTCTGCCTGATGCATACTGTGCTTTAGAAATCAAAGATATGGAACCCTTTACTCAGCGCAGCCTCTCTCTGCTCCCATATTGCACTTTGAAAAACAAAACCAGGGTTGAGGCCTTGACCGTGAACGTATCTTGTGCAGAATCATTTCCTGTACAGTGCCACAATCCAGAGGCAGTGCTTCTGGGACCAATGGTTCCCTGGAGTGACTTCCTGCCTCATTGTCCTCTGTCTCTGTTCCTGGCCCCCCATGGATTTAATCTTGAAGAGGGCAGAGCAGCAGGCCAGGGCTTTTCCTGTGTGGATGAGTACCCACAGGATGGGTTTCTGGGGCTCTTGGACCTGCTCTTTCTGTCTTGTCCCTGGTCTGGATGGGCCACCAGCCATGTGTGCTCTGTGCTATCTCACTTGTTATCTGCATACAGTTTAAGTCCTGTCTGTTTCTTCTAGATCTTTGGGGCCATTGAAGAGGAAAGTTCCTTGGGGTTCCCCATTGGAGGGCCAGGGACCAGCCTAAATGTGAGTAGAGAAAACCCAAAAAGTTGCCCCTAGGGGCCTCAGCTCAGTAGTTGCTGTTGTGACCTCTGTCCTGCCCAGTGTGCATGCTGTGGGGTTTCTACCTCCCACTCCCATCCTCCCGTTCCCTTCCCTGGAATCCCCCAGGAGTCCTGCTCCTCTGTCAGCCCTGTAGACAGAAAGACCAGCTTGGGGTCCCTTCCTCATTGACTCATGCCAAGCCTGCACTTGAGCTTCAGGTGTGGCTCCAAGGTGTGGAGAGTGGGCAGGCACCCTGAATGTGAATGTCAGCTTTGGGCAGGATGGCCTTTTCATTGCTGGAGTGAAGGCTTTGTGCTGTCACATGGCCTCAGTCTCAGAGCACCAGCCGACAGGTCACTTCTCATCCTTGATCACACCTCAGACATGTGGCATCATGAACTCTCATTCTCAGATTTGACTAAACATACAGTCATCCCTGGGTGTCCACCTGGGATGAGTTCCAAGACCCCTGAGGACACCAAAACCCATAGATGCTCAGGTCCCTCATTGAAAAAGTGGTATTGAATTTACATAGAACCTGTGTACATCCTTCTATAGGCTGTAAATCATCTCTGGATTAGTTGTAATACCTAATGCAATTTAAATGCTATGTGAATGGTTATATAGTTTAGGGAATAATGACAAGGAAAACAGTCTGAGTTCAGTACACCTGCAATTTGATTTTTCCCCAAGTATTTTCAGTCTATGGATTGTTGAATCCTTAAATGTGGAACCTGATGACACAGAGAGCCAACTGTACTAATTTGAACTCAGTAAACATGTCCTGTATTTGGGTCCCATGTACATACAAAAGGTACAGAGCTTATGTTGAGTGGGGAATGCACACTGTCCACGTCTGCACTATAGAGCTGGGCAGAAACTTATGCCAGACCAGGTCTGATTTTGATACCGGGCCCAGGGTCTGTCAGCATAGCCTAAGTCCTCTGCTGCAGCAGCTGCCACCCAGAAGGCAGAAAGAAGGTGGTGGTCATGCAGAGCCCTCTGTATACTGAGTCTGAGCAAGCTGGAGAACCCGTTGGGAATGGACCCCACTTGTCTGCTGTTGGCTTTTCTGTCCACAGTGGTACAGGCATGACCAACACGTGCATCACCTACACTCCTCTGCTAGTGAGGACAGTGTGCTGATGGGTGTCCTCCCGCCCTCCTCTCCTGGAGAATGTGCTATAATTATTTGACTAGAACATATATATCAACATTTAAATGTGTCATTTAATGAACACAGGAGCTCAGTACCAAGTAAAAAACCAAAGCCTTCCTTTTTTTCTTTTTTTGGTGTGTGTGTGTGTGTGTTACTGGGAATTGAACCCCGGGCCTCATGCACTCTAGGCAAGTGCCTTTTTTTTGAGACAGTCTCACTAAGTTGCTCAGGCTGGGCTGCACTTGTGATCCACCTGCCTCAGCCTCTTGAATAGCTGGGATTATAGGCATATACCATCACGCCTACTTTCTGCAAAACCTTCTTCAGTGTACTTTTTTTTTTTTTTTAGTGGTACTAGGGATTAAACCTAGGGCCTTCCACATGCTAGGCAAGTAGAGTACCCTGCCATTCAATTCACCCCAGCACCATCAATACCTTCTTATACCCTAGCTTCCTAAAGATGAGGAACATGAGGAGCCTCACCCCTTGATGGTGCTACACACCCCCCAGCAACCTCTCCAGGGGGATGAACTATGCTAGGAGAGACTGCCCACCTCTCACCCTGCCCAAGCCTTTTCTCAGCCTCAGAGCTGGCTGTTTTTTTTCAGCCTCAGAGCTGTACTGTGTTTTAACTTTGCTGTATGTGAACCTACTTTTAGTACCTTTCAGAAAGAAAGTCCACACAACTTCTTTGTTCTCTTGCGCAAGTGGTAGTAAGGTATTTCTTTAAAAACCACAAAAGCCAAAACACACCTCTGAAGTTAAAATCAGTCTGCCTTTGAACTTAGGAAGATGTCTTCATTCTTGAATGGAGACATCAAGTATCCCCAGTATGGCCGCTTTTCCCTTCCCCTTCTCAGTAGTTCCTAAAAAGAACCAGCCATGCGAGGACTTGGTCAGCCGTGAAGCTAAGCACCCTGTGCCCAGCGCCTCACACTGGGTGAAGTTCATGGTTTGACTTCCAAGAGCAAAGTGGTATGGGAGCCAGGGAGATGACCCTTGCTCCTAACCCTTGTTAGGACTGACCTCTTGGCCATGTCCCCCACTGTGGTCACCCAAACCACCAGGGGTCACCAGCCCCAGATTTCCTTGAGACAGACCCCAAAGCCATCCCAGTGCTCCTATGGCAGTGGAATACCTACCTTCCTCACGGTTGCACTGAGGCTTGCATGGGCTTTCACAGTGTGGATGGAGATAAAGGCCTAAAACTGCTCTGGAAGCCTGAGGCCTCCCTGCAAGGAGGCAGGCTCAGTCAGAGGCGGACTGGGCCTGAGATGTTTGGCTCATACCAGCTGGGGTGTCCAGTAATCTTTTATTTTGCTTATGGAACTGCTACATAACTTGGGGGCAAGGGAGGTCTTGCTCGGAAGGCAAAGACTTTTTTGCCCCTACTGGAAAGATAAGAGAAATGTGCTTTAAGAGATGTTCACAGACTTAAACTCCCAGGTGGAATTCACCCTCATCAGTTAGTTCATCTTTTCCGGCGTGGTTTTTTATCCTCTCTGTTACTATAGGCAGTTAACCTTAATCAACACAGTTGATCTTATACACAGTCGTGTGTGATCATGGATGAGACCCAAACACAGACCCAACACCAGCACTGTAAAGATGGGCTTCTAACAACCACATGTGTGACCTAAGCATGTCATGTCAACAGTGGACATGCTGGCTGCTGAGTGTATCCTGCCAGAAGTTGAAAGGAAGCTCTGCTCACTGACCCACTTCACCTGTGCTACCCACCCCTGAGTGCATGTCATTTGCACACCTTACATAGGCTGTGTGTCATGGATGAGGGTGGCTGGGCTGCACTCCCTGGAGTGTCAGGGACGGCAGCTGTCCCTGCCCTGCAACCTGACTGCTGAACTGTTAAGTATTCAGTTGTAAGTGCAGGCGGTGGGCCGATCTCAGGAACCAAACCCATTCTTTCCACAGCTCGAGTCCACAGTCATGCCCTACCTGCAGGTACTGTCGGAATTCAGGGAAGGCGTACGGAAAATTGCCCGGGAGAAGAAAGGTGAGGCTGCTTGCCCAGAGAGCAGAGAGTGACTGTTCCTCCCTGTCACACTGCACCCAGGCTACCTCCCCTCAGCACTGCAGGTGCTCTGTGGGACCATCCTGCATAGGCTGCCCATGCACTATAGGGTATTTAGCAGCATCCCCAGCAGGACCCACCATATCCCACTTGCCAGTCCTATAGCCACAGAGGTGTCCTAAAGGACAGAATTGCTCCCAGTGAGAGCATCATGTGACTTAGGACAGCTGGTGCTGGTCTAGCATTGGATGTGAGGGGCCAAGTCTTTGCTTGATCTGAATAGACACAGGATGAGGGGCCCTGTGGCCAGCCCAGCCCTGCACCTACCCATGGTTAGCACTGGGTAGGTGTGTGTTCCTGGTGACCCCAGGCAGGGTGCGCTGGAGTGTGAGGAGTTGGTTAGCGCCTCTTACTGGGAGCCAGCATTCTCAGTGTCACTGTTCTCTGCCTAGGGGCATGGCAGCGAGTTTTTAACTTGGGGGGGTCCCCCCGCGAGTACTTTGTTATCTATGCTTAGTCATTCCTTCATCCTTTGACATTCTGAGGTGTGCTTGGTGTGAGAATTGGAGAATGCTAGATCTGAATGTTTGGGGGTTTTGGCCAGTTTTTAAAAATTGTTAAATAGCAATAAACATCATCAGTCAGATCTTTGGGTTCCTACTTTGAATGAATCAGAATCAGTGGATAGCAGAATAACTATTCACATCCACTGAGCATGCGTGGTGTGCTGGGTCTTGGCCAGCTGCTTTCCTTGTGATATTATAAGAGATGGGTCCTCCCCAACCTCTGACTGGGGTTGGTAGCAGACATCGTGGTATCCTGGAGGGGGCGGGGCTCTGTGTGATGATAAGTTACACCTAGAGTTTATCCAGCCCTGGTTGTGCAGAGCCTGTCACAGGGGTCAAAGCAAGCCAACATTTATGTCGTGCACTGCCCAAACAGGGCAGCATCCTGGGGGGCTGCACCAGTAGTACAAGGGGCAGAGCACCCAGCGGAGCCCTGGAGAGAAGCTGCACCTTGAGAAAGGATGAGTAGGCCTGATCAGGAGAGGGGCTTGGAGAGAGATAACCAGGTCCCTGGCCTGTGCAGCAGAGGGGACCATAAAGCCTTAGGCAAGATGGCAGAAGAAAATGTAGCACTCAGGAGGAGCTAAGTCCTGGCTCCAGAGGCCAGCAGCAGTACAAGACATAGTATGAGGAGGCTAATAGGGCCTGGCATGACCCACAATTAATAAAAAGTTCAGTGGTGGGACACCTGGTGCCCACTTTCCAAACTTGGTACTCTCCCTGGTATAGAGTACTTGAGCAGATTAAAAAGTGCTCACTCAGGTCTCTGACGGTTTTGGTAGCACACACGTACTGACATCGCTGAGGTCCTGGCTTGGGGTGACTATCCTCAGAGGCAGCCTGGATATTTCCACCTGCCTGTCAGAGATATCGGAGCCCGACCGTGGGCTCCATCCTCTCACGGTCACGTGATACACTGCATGTGACATTGGCACAGCACAGCACAGCCCAGGAAGGACTCGGCTGGCTGGTCAGAAAGCCTCCAAGGGGCCGGCCAGGCTTGACCCCCTGTGCGGTGGTGTTGACCAGGCAGGGGCCTGCTTGGGCATCAAGAGCACCACTAGGCAGCTAGCCTTGGAAGTAGTTTCCTTTTGCTTTTTGGTGGCTTATGTTTTGCTCTCTTTTGTTGTTTTTCTTTCCTTGTTTTGTTTTTTATTAGTAAATGTTTGTAGTACGTAACGATCACATCCCCTGTGGGGAGTTGGTGCATGATGTAGATAATGTATCTTAATTCTTTTTTCATCTTTTTTCTCCACTCCATCCCCAGTCCCTCCATCTCTTGATGTTTTCCATTTCAGAAAGATCTTCCTACTTCCTATTATCTTTTATTTTGCTCTTTATTTATATTTTGGGTTTCTCATATAAGAGAAACCATGCAATATTTATGCATGTGTGTTTGATTTATTTCACTCAGCAGTGTGGTCTCAAGGTGCATCTACTGTCCTACAGATGACTCAGATTTATCCTTCTTTATGGCAGAACAGTACTCCATTGCATGTAAATACCATATATTCTTTATCCATTTATCTGTTGATGAACATATAGGTTGCTTCCAAAATTTAATTATTATGAGTTGTGGTACTGTAAACATGGGTATGCGTGTATCATTGCAGTGTGATATCTCTCCCTTTTTCCTTCCTCCCTCCCTCCTTCCTTTTCCTTCCTTCCTTCCTTCCTTCCTTCCTTCCTTCCTTCCTTCCTTCCTTCCTTTCTTCTTTTGAGATAGGGTGTCACTGTGTTGTCCAGGCTGGCCTCAAACTCCTGGTAATCCTCCTGCCTCAGCCTCCTGAGTGCTAAGATTACAGGCATGCACAGTCATGCCCAGCTTGCAGTATGATGTTTTTAACTTTTAGGGGAAGATACCTAGAAGGGGAGTGGAATTTCTAGTTCTGGTTGTTTGAGGAATATCCATACTTATTTTCATAATAGTATCAGTAGTTTACATTTCTGCCAACAATATAGAAAGGTTTCTTTTGTCCCAAACCCTCACCAAGATTTATTATTTGATTTTTTTGATGATAGCCATTTTTTCTGGAGTAAGATGGAATCTTAGTGTAATTTGCATTTCTCTAATGGTCGGTGGTATTGAACACTTCTTCATGTGTTTATTGGCCGTTTGTACTTCCTCTACGAAGTATAGTATTTCACTTGCCCACTTTTTGATTCAGTCTTTTATTTTGCAGGAGGTCTAACTTTTTTGAGTCTTTTATACATGTTAGATGCTAGACCTATGTCTGAGGAATAGCTGGCAAAAATTTTTTTCCCATTCTGTAGGTTGTCTTTTTACTCTATTGTTTCTCTTGCTGCACAGGATTTTAATTTGATATGATCCCATTTGTTGATTCTTGGTACTATTTACTGTACAACTGGGGTTCTGTTCAGAAAATCCTTGCCTATGCCTATGACTTCAAAAGTTTTATCTATTTAATCTTCTAGCAGATAAAATGTTTCTAGTTTAACATTTAGTTCTTTGATCTATTTTGATTTTGGTTTAGCACCTAGTAAGATGTATGGTCTAGAGTCAGTCTTCTGCATGTGGATAGCCAGTTTTTTCAGCACCATTTATTGAAGAGGCTATCTTTCCTCCAGTGTCAAAGATCAAATAGTTGAATGTGCTTGGGGTTGTTTCTGTATCCTCTATTCCATTTGTGGCAAACCTATGGTACACACGCTGCAGCAGCACACAGAATGCTCTCTGGGCACACTAACCCAATTACCCTAGCAGCTGAGCGTCTGATAATAGGATGCATAGGGGCCATGCATATGACCTGCTCAGAAACGAGGAGTGACGCCAAGCAATGACATCACAAGCCGCAACTAATCAAGCTGTGACTCATCAACACTTATCAGCGGTGACCCCTCCAAGCTTTCACATGGCCAGTCAGTATGCTGCCAAGGATATGTATACATTTGGACTGCCAGTGAGTTTTAATACATTATCAATACAAGATTTTAGCTTTGAGTTTTCTTAAGAAAAATTGAAATTTAATATCTAAGACTTAGCGAAGAGATGTTCTAATCAAGAGACTGAGATTCCTTTAATTTTATGTGACCCTCTGGCACATTTGAATCTCAACATCGTATTCAGTTGTTTGTGAAGAATTTATGAAAATAAGAGCAAGGGGGGGCTGGGGATTTAGCTCAGCGGCAAAGCGCCTGTCTGGCAAGCGCAAGGTCGTGAGTTCGGTTCCCGGTACCGGAGAAAAACCAAAAAAACCAAAAAAAAAAAAAAAGAAAATAAGAGCAAGGGTATATATGTGCTTGGACTGCCTGTGATTTTAGCAGGAGCCCCCCACAAGGCAGGAAATGTACTCAGATGCCTTTTTCAGAGCAGGGGAAAAGCTGGTGGTCAGTGGAATATTGCTCCCTTACACTGGTGGTCAGCAAACTTAAGAGGACTGCCAGCTGAGACTCACTGAGAATGTTCACTGTTTTTGGTAGAGGGATAGATTTGTATTGGGTACTTCATTTTTTAAAAAAAATTTGTGGTTTTGTAGACTCCAAGCCTTGAACATCAAAAAATGACTAGTACAGGAAAAAAAGGAAAAGTGAAAACAGTAGAAGCTCATTCCAAGAGGCCTAGACAAAGTCATTTGGAGTGAATGAACACAATGGAAAATCGGTATATATTCTGTGTAGTAAAAGTGTTGTGTGTCACACAGAGTGTCAGATGGCACCTTGACATCAACTGCAAAAGTATTGCTGAACTTGGCGAAACTGAAAGGAAAGAGTTTCTTGAAGGGAAATTGAAAAAATATCATTCCCAGTATCTTAGTGTTTATAGCTATCTTCCTAAAACAAATCATTCGATAGCTGCCAGCTTACAAATTTTGCGGTGCAGAGTGAAACATCGTAACCCTCTCTCTGGTGGGGATTTTATCACAATGTGTGTTTTCTAAACTAAAACCTGTGTTCAGACTTAGCTGCAGTGTTGGCACTTTGCAGTAAATAAGTGAGTTTTGGGCTGTAGTTTGGTCACCTGGTTTCTAAAATATTCACCATTACTGCTCTATTCTGTTCCATTGATTCGTATGTCTGGGTGTTTTTTGTTGTTGTTGTTTGTGTTGTGTTTTTGCTGATACCACTGTATTCTGTTCTTCCCCATTTAATATGTTAGCAGTAGATTCGTCATAAATGGCTTTTATCAAATTGAGGTAAGGTCCATCTATAACTATTTTATTCAGGGTTTTTATGATGAATGGATGTTAGATTTTGTCAAAAGCTTTTTCTGCATCTATTGAGGTGATCATGTGATTTTTGTCCTTCTGTTTATGTAATGACTTACATTTTTTAATTTGCATTGTTGAACCATCCTTGCATCCCTTGGAATAAAGCTTACTTGGTCATGATGTATGATCTTTTGGATGATTTGTTACATTCTGTTTGCCAGTATCTTAAGGATTTTTATATCTGTGT